TGAACTCCATGCCCCAACCTTGTCATCATGTTGATTTCTAAGAGCCTCTCTCCCTCCATTAGCATGAAAGCTCCAAAGGGGCATAATTTTGAGTTCACTTTGTTCCCTTACATTTTTCAAGCACCTAGAGGATAGCCTGGTATGTATCATCTACACAAAGGAAGGTAGTGAATAAAATTGATGACTAAATAAGAAGAATAAGAAGGCAAAGACCCATTAAGGGTGGGTGACACTCAAGTCACCAAATAAGAAAGTGGTTAAAGCCAATATTTGGGATGCTATTTACCTAGCCCAAAGTCTGTGTTCTTTCCTTTAGACCTCATTGTCTCCCTTCCTTTCATCTAGGAGATTTTAGCCACAGACAGAGAGGAAAAGGCAGTGTGTGTCTGTTTGCCAAGTGGTCACTCCTCCCACTACGGAATCTGTGACTGTCTGAGCACTTACTAAAATGATGAATTGCTGTGGAGATATCTAAAAAGAACAAATTTTTAAAAATTGCTGTGGAGATACACTCTTTAAAAATGTGATCCATTTATTCCCTACAAAGTTGAGACAGAATATTCACACGCCAAGATCTTCAAAAGGACTGTTTGTTGGAGGATGTGCCATACTTCAAAGAGACATCAGACACCTGCAATATACAATTGACTATTTTTCTGATATTCTGCTCAAACCCATTTAAAATGCTTTAAGACTCTGATGAAATTAGGCAAGACTGTGAATATCTCTGCAATTAATAAGAAGAGCTTAAATTTCTGAGCATCATGAGCCAGGCATTGCCCTAAGAAATTTATATCCGTTAGCTCATGTAATCCTACCATAAAGCTATTAGACAAATAGTTATTATCTGTTCAGTTTTTAGAAGAAGAAAATGAAGCTTGCGTAGCATGTGGCCAAGTCAGGTTTTGGATCTAGGTTTATCTGGCTCTAGCCCAAGGACTTAACCACAGCCCTCAGTGTTCTATGGCTTAGACCTCAACTGATGAACTCTCCCTCCAGAAAGTTCTACAAGCACTGATCCTTGGAAAGTCACAGTAGGCCGTACTATAATTTAACACTTCTTCATCATTGTAACCAAGTTTTCCTGGGTTTCATAGGTATACTCCTTCCCAGGAGTAGGACTTGCCAGTTCCCCCTAATTTCTTTCTTTGTCCTGATTGAGAACTACAGTGTGCCTTGACCCCTCTGTGATCTGGCAAGTCATATTTTTTTTTTCTCTTGCAGGCTAAACCCAAGCCTTGAACATTCCCAGGCACTCTTGATGAACTGTTAAGGTGGTTGCTTGAAACACCAAAAATTCTAACATATTGCTAAACATGCAGAAACTACCCTTAGCCTTGAGCCAAATTCCTTAAAAGCCCATTAGATTTCACACCCTGACCTGTGCTGAGGACATCCTTAGATAGAATATTCCTTTTCTTGCTATTCATTCCTCTATAAATTCCCCTAAGAGATGCATTGGACTGATCACCCTGATCAGTGCTTATTTCTTTGAAATCCCAACCAGCCCCATCTTGGGATGGTTTGGGGGCAGTCCCGTGTGGGAACTCCACCACTTTTGAGGCTATTCCAGGGGTTTGGCTGGACAGAACTGTGCTCTGAAAAACCTTGTGTATGTATGTTCTATAAGCCACTGAGCCAACTTATTGACCAACCAAGGCAATTTCACACACCCTGGGAGGTCAGATGACCCTGACAGACCTCTTCCTTTGTTGCCTGGGTGATTGCAGCAATTTCAAGGTAACCTCAAAAAATACCATATTGGAGAGTCATTCAAAGGGCTAGTTATCTCAGACATCCATCGGCCATTCTGCACAGAGCCACCTGCTCCCTCACATGGCAATTAGAAAGATAAATGAAACACAGAGGGAAATGCTTGGAGCTTCTTTGCAGAATTCCAAGCAGGATTTTGCTCTAGCTGTAGGTACAGGTCTTGTACTGAAAACCTGATCGGAGATGCCCAGAGATGATGAGATACACTGTTAACTCCGTGTGCTCCTGGAAACTCTAGCTCCTGAAATCCAGACAGAGTTCTGATAGGAGTGTTGTTGTGGACTGCCCCAGCAGCTGCTGTTGGGTGGGGCAGGCACAATGCCACAAGGGTGAATCATGGGCCAGGACACTTGGGAAAGCATATTCTCCTGCCCTCAGCTCTTGGGGGAGAACAGCTTTTTGCTGATTTTCTGCACTGTTTCCTTCTTTATTTTTAAACATATTCTCATACGTTCTTGCATGCTGTACTAGAAACAGAAAGATGTTTTCTAGGACACCTCAGCCTACGTCTGAAAACTTTTCATGTCTGGCAGACAGAAAAAGGAGGCTTACTTCTGATTTAAGATCAGTATACCTTCTCCGTATGCACTGGAATCATAAGTTATTCCTGACTTGACCCAGGGTGAGATCTGCATTCTAGCTCAATGTCCAACAAACTTGTTCTGTGGTCCATAGAAAAATAATCCTAACTTTCTTTGTCTCAATTTCTTTGCTCAAAATCTTGAATAATACTCTTTGCCCCTGGGAGCCATTGCAGGGATCTGTGGCAAGAATATATGATACAGACATAAATATAAGTATAAATGTACATTTAGTCATGCACTGCATAATGACACTTTGATCATATTAATGCATATAAAATGGTGGTCCCACAGATCATACAGCCTAATGACATTGTAGGCATCTTAATTTGTGTAAATATGCTCCATGATGTTTCCACAACAATGAATCACCTAATGATGCATTTTCCAGAATGCATTTCTGTCATTGAATTTGCATTGAGTTTAAATGTAATGCAAAGTTCCATTAACTCTATTTTAAAAATAAGGTCAGGAATATTTAAGTTAAGCATCTAATGCCCTAGGGGTGATTTGCAGCGTAGACTTTAAGCTGACTGGCATAGAGCCTCTACTATTTTAATGGTGAGTAACTTGCCATCCTAGAACTCCTGTTCTGCATTGCTGTTTGCCCATCACAGATTCTCAGGAGCAATAGAGATGGACTTCCTTAATAAAGTTTTCAAGATCCATTCTATTAATTATACACCCATTCGGCAAGCGTTGAGGAACTACGTATAGTAGTCCTGTGTTTAGAACTGGCCATAAAGCAATGAAGAGGGTAAATGCAGACCCATCCCTCCTGGAGTTTATACTCTCGTACTGCCTCTTTGAACCTAGGGTTTGTGTAGAACCGTGTGTAGAGAGAGAAGCAGAAAGAAAAGTCATGGGCTTGGCTGAGAGCAGCCGAGTAGCCTGGCTGCTCTCTGCAGAATGCAAGACAAAGCACTGACTTCAGCCAATCCTATTACACCTCATCAAGCCCATTACTGCTCTTCATCTTCTGGCCTCCCCTGTGCCCACGGATGGAAAGCTTTGCACAGACAGGATGAAAACCCCTGGGAAAGACAGAGCTTCAAGTCCAGCAAAGAGGTTTAATCCCTTTGATATAAAGCATGAGTGGAGAGACTCAAAAGAGGTCAAATCAAAGGGAGTTGTATTTTAGATGATGCATGAGTGAATCTGATATCCACTTAAATGGAAGGAATTCTACAAACACCCACCACAGTGCAGAAAGCTCTGCATCATGGGGTGGCCTAGAATGCCAGGAGCACAGCCATAGAGGTTTGTTAGGAGCACACCCAGGGCTCTGCAGGGCTTCCTGGAGAAAGCACTGAGCTGGGAGTCTTGTCTCAGACTTAGTTTCCCTATCTGTGAAAATGGGAGCCACAAATATCTCCATGGATTTCCTCCTCTCTCTCTGGGTTGACAACTTCCTTCTCTGAGATTTAAGGCTTACAGTGAGGCTGGAGGAAGAGTAATGGAGGAGGCCATATTAGTTCCATGTTGTTATGTTTGAATTCTATGAATCTATATGGCTGTATTGGTTGTTAAAATATAAAAATGCTCCAAATTGGTTGGTGAATAGGCTGGCCCAGTTGCCTCAAGAGCTCTCAAGGTTAGCAGGGAGGATTAAAGCTGCCATAAATTGAGTATATACTGCACAGAGCATGTGTAAGTGGCAGAATTCTAAGATGGCTGCATGATTCCTGCCCCACAGTATACACTCCCTGAATAATCTGGGGACTTGGGGTTGGGACCCTCATTACCCACAATTAGAGTCACCTTGAATAAAGGAAGGTCATGTGGGTCAAACTAATCATATAAGCCCTTAGAAGGGACTGGACTTTTCCTGAAGCAGGAAATGCATCACTAGAGGAGTTAGATGAAGGGAAGATTTCTCATTTGCTTTAAAGATGGAGGGGACCACATGACAGGAAATGTGATGACTTCTAGGTGCTGAGACAGCCCCCAGGCAACAGCCAGCAGGGCAGCAGTCCTACAATTGTGAAGAACTGAATTCTGACAACCACCGGA